AAGCAAACAAATGTAGTATTAATATTATCATGCTAATGCAGTCACAATGAGCAAAAGAATTACAAATACAAGATCATTGTTGAGTGTACAAGAGTGCAGAAATGATGCTGTACTTAATGAAGCTAAGGCAAAAAATTGAGAACATGCTGCTGTACTGAGCAAAGAGACTAGTCTAAACTACCAGTTTGATTTAAAATGATAGTGTCCAGTGATGAAAAAAATAATGTTTATGATATTATATTGAGTGCACAGAAAATTGTTCAAAAAGAAGTTACCTGTATAAGCCAGTATCTTCTGCCAGGTTATTTGTTTTTTTAATGATTATCTAATATTAATACACATACACCTTTGTGACTACAAAGATTTTTTAAAGGAATTTTTGCTGCTTCATCTTAGTTTTAAAAGTGAAAGATCAGACCAACCAAGGAATTTAATTTGAATCTGCAATGAAGTAACATGTTATTTTATGATGTAGAGTCCAGATATTTTTACAATTGTTTGACTATAGAAGTTTATTGAAGATAAAAGTGTGTTTGTTTATATTAGTTTTAATAAAACTCCACCTACAAATGGTCAGACCAACTAAGGTATAATGTATTTTTATCATTTTATTAAAAATTTATTATTCTGCATGACATTGTTATCTTGTAATGATCTTAATCTGGGGCACCTCTAAAGGTCCAAACTTGAGTCTGTGAGTAATGTTGCAATGCAAGAAGGAAAAGAAAATTATATATATATGAATTAAGAGTATAATTCTGCAAATAATCAAACTTTTAGTTCATAAAGGATAATTTTAGTGATTTTATCCATTGATTCAAAGATTTTAATGAATGTTCACTTTTTGAAACTATTTTAGTTTCTTAAACATGAGAAAAAAACCTTTTGCTGTGAGACCTAATGTGGTTACTAGTTCAGATCATGAGACTCAAAGCAAATTATTGCTACAAAATTATTTTTCCCCTTTCTTGGAGATAATTTTATCATTTCAAGCAATTTTACATCTTTAATTTTTAAGTCTTCTCTGTGTTGGGTAATTATGTGAGACTGCTGTTAAAATTAAGGTATTTGATAAAAGATTATTCTCTTTTTCTTTTGTCCATTTTTTTTTAGTAGTCTGGGTATCAAGAGGTGGATAGTTCAGTGTAAAGAAATCTCTCAATATGCAATACCACAAGGAATTGTGTTTTTCCCACATTGACAATTGACGATGAACTTCTTTGTGCCAATGATCTAGAGAGAACTGCCAATAAATGATGTTGTTGTTTTGGATAATGATTGCAAAAATGCAAAAACCATTTTACTGCCACCAAGTGATAAAGATCCAGTTCTCCTCTCATTAAAGAATTGAGTCTTAAGAAAGTAGTGTTAGAGGTGCCTTGATGATTAAATCATTTTTGAAACTCTAGAATTATATTTGTATTTTGTTCTTCATCTGTCCATTACAGATGTATATTTTACAGTTAGGGAAAAGTTTAGTTCTTGTACAAATAGAGATTTATCATTAAAACATAATTTCTTATTGTAATGTGCATTCAACTTGGTAGAAAATGTTAGTGAATCTGCACTGAGGCTTGGCTCATGTCACAATCTTGTGTAAATATGAGGATTGTTATTTGTCTTTACCAGCCATTTTTTGAGACAAAGCTTACCTTATTTTTAATATGTATATACATATAAATTGTATGATGATGACCTTCAAAGAGATAAAATGGTTCTACCTTTTTTTTTATTATTCTGGCCAGACATATGTTTAATTATTTATTGTTTGCTTTAATTTCTGAGACATCATACTCCCTTGCTGATATTAATGGCTACCATAAAAGTTGAGCTTTTATCAATCTATTCATGAAAAAACAAAAAAACTTTGTGTCCTTTCCATTCAAATTTTGTGAATTCAGTATATGGCTTATGTCGAAGAAGGTTACTGCCATTTAGGTAGAAGAAAGATACAAAGTATGTTAACATTAGCACAAACTTTTGCTGAAAATGGAAGAAAGTGTTCTCAAGCTTTCAGTGGACATGTTTTTCATCATTTTTGTGATTGTCAGCTCATGGAAACTGTTTCTAAATCATTTTTTTTTGTCATTCCAGTAACAAAAGTGTGACCCAACTTTACTCCAAATAAAATAATTTTTGTTGGGAAAAATTTAAATTCTGATGTCTTGCATCACTTATAGGAATAAATTATCTTTATTAGATGTTCATGGTAGTCTTACTTTAACTTCTCAGAATTCATGTTTATAATCTGTCTTAGTGTGGTTCATCACCACAATTAATTAAGAGCATAGTTCAACAGCAACTAGCCTTAGCTGTTGAGTTACAGCTGTGTAAATAAGTTCTTTATTATCCTGACCAAGTAGTCCATTGACAACTTGTTTATTGCTCCATAGTGTGTAAGTATAATCTTGTTATGTATACACCATTTATAGAAGTTTCAGCACATGACTGTTTTTAATTTTCTGTCTGACAACATAAGTTGACTTTGTAACACAAAAAGAGCTTGCCCTAATAGTACAAACCCCACCCCAGCATGAGGTTTGGTTGAGCTTACACAAGCAACTTTGTAAATAATAATAATATAAATCAATAAGTACTTTTTTTATTTCCTTCCAATTTTTAAAAATTAATTAACCAATGAAAAGATAATCATTTCTTTTAGTAGCAGGCACTCTTTTTATCACTAAAGCTGAACATCGTATTTACTTCTTTATCTCTGCTCTGGATACCTTCCGAGGCTAGAATTTAAGTGTAGTTGTAACTTGTAGTATTTATGTCATAGTTCTATTTTGTTTCTAACTTCAGATAAGCCAAGATACTAAGTGAGTTTAAAATTATTCATTTAACAGGTTATAGTAAATTACAAAAATCAGTGTGCTACTACTATAGAAATGTGATTTTACTAAATTCTTATGTGCAAGTTGAAATACTGCTTCAAATAGCTTTCTGGTGTTTATTTTTTGTTTTAATCTATAGAGAGAGATCAATATTCAGTGTTAAAAATACCATAATTATGACTAGTAAACCTACAGATTTGTATCTTTATGTGTACATCAAATAAAAATCAATAAGATTATTAATGAACTTTTACATTAAGCGGATTACAGGGTATATGATCAGCAAATTTTTAATACTTTAATGGTTTGAGGAGGACACCTTTTGTTGTGCCAAGTGTTGACCTTAAAGAGTTGTTAGTTGGTGTTTTAAAGTTATTCATTCAGCCAACTTACTGGCTATCATTGTTAAAATGACCTAATCCCAGCTGCAGGTACTGATCATTAGTAATGTGACTGAAATCACTTTCTGGTAATAATACTTACAAATAAATTTTATGAAAACTCTGTAATTGTTGTTTGTATTCACTATTACATTATTTTATAAAGAAGCATAAAATAATTTCAGAAAATTCAAATCTTACATTACATATTTTCCCCTCTTCTTAAGTATTATTTGCTTTAGAGGAAAGCTACAATGGGCTATCTGCTCTGTCCACCACAGGTAATCAAACTGCAAATTTTAGTGTTGTCAGTCTGTAAACTTGCTGCTTATCCACTGGGGGACTCTTCTTAAGTAAAGATCTATGAAATATTTTGCACAGAAGTGGTATATGGATGTTAATTGTTCCATAGGAGTAGACTTTGAATGTTTTCTTGAATAAGTGTGAGGGAAGGGTAGTTTTCAGTTGCAAGTTTCTTTTTTTCTTCTCTAAGTTAATAAAACAACAACTGATCATTAACTTTGGTTCTTAGAAACCCATGATTACACATAATCTTCCTACCATCTTGTGCACTTTCTTTAGCTTGTGTTTTGAAATAAAGAAGTAGAAAACAACTATTTTATATGTATGGGTTTTAAGGTAACAGAGGTTACAATAGGCCAGCATTTTCCAAAAAAAAAAAGAAACTGAATAGGATAACATTTTTCTATGCATTAAATTGATAAACTACATTTTCAAATACAGAAAAACAGTGTAAGTACTTTTGTCCTGCTAGTCGGGTGTTGCCATGCAGATATGTAATCAGTAAAGTAATGATTCTTTATGTGGAATTATACACGGACTGTTATCTACATTAAAATACATTTTATTTGTGACCTTTTAGCCCTCTTACCAGAGCCTTCATTAGTGAAGGCTCCAGTAAGAGGGCCAAGAGCTTGCAAATAAAAGTATCTTAATGTAAAGAACAGTCCATGTATAATACTACATATTAATTTACCTATGTTATGAGTGATACAAAAAAAAAGTAATGATCCTTTGTTATCTTCACTGCTTTTTGTTTTGCAAAGTAACTGGTTGAGGTGAGAAAAAAAAAAATTGTAGTGTTGTGATGGCAGGTGGTTTCAGATAGGTTCTCCACTGTCATTCATTAAACTTCATCAACATAGCATCCTGTGTGTTGTGGTAAAAGAAATAGCCACTAGAATCTAGTACCTATTTATTGGAAAACTTTAGTAAGCAACTGTGTATAATATGGTTGCCAGTATAACAGGTATCTAGGATTACAGTGTTCAGATCCTTAGTACCAATTGGTAGTTTCTTTTGTTAGGGGTTTATCAAAATCGTGTATATTGTTTAACACTCTTTCTTAGCAATGCATGCATACATACATACATATGTATGAGTGGGAGAACTATAAACCATAGGTTTTGGTTATAACGGAACCAGTGCAGAAAAATTTTGCAGAATAAAAAAGAATTTTCGAACTTGATTTGTCTATTGCCTTTTGCTTTCATTTCATACTTGAGTTATTTTTCTAATGCATTTGCATGTCTATGTAGTGATTTATTCCACAAGCTTACTACTGGTAATCAGAACCATGTGTGTGTGTGTGTACATGTACGTATCACATACTTACCCAGTAAGTATCATATTCAGTATATTGTGCAGCAAGGTAAAATCTTAAAATATTTCAATATAAATACTATGATACATAAATATTACTATTGTTTTATACTGTATAAGTAAGGTATGTAAGAACCAGTGAAATAATGGATGATGATACAAGTATTTTGAACTGTACACCATGATTAAGGAAGTAAGAGAACATTAAGGAAAAGTTCATTACTACAAAACAAAAATACAAGCATGACACATTTCTTGTGAGTAATACCTCATAAAGTGTGAGTATTCTTTGTCACTGTTCCCTCCTGTTGTATTGTCTAGGTAAGTTCACCCACAGTTTTATATTTTCATGTCATAGCGTCTTTTCAATCTCTTTTTCCTGAAAGTGATTTCACTACACATTCATAATCAGGTACCTGCATTGTAACTGAAAGTAGTAACAGCAAGTGTCTTTCGTTAAATGTCTCAGAAGATTAATCAGTGTTCAGTTACTCTAATATAATGTATTGACTCGTGACTTCCTCTGTTCTAACTTCAGAGCAGTAACTCTTTAAGGAAACTGGCATTCTTATACAAAATAAAAAGTCATGTAGACTGTAATGTCTGAGTAAGTTGAATAAAGAAATTGGTATTTTATGACTTGACTTGTGTGTGCTAGACTATATAAAAGATCTATTTGTATTTCAAACTGTATATCAAAGTGCTTTAATTAGAGAAACACTTCACTTGTATGAAGTCTTTACTACTTGTAAAAGATCTATTTGTATTTCAAACTGTATATCAAAGTGCTTTAATTAGAGAGACACTTCACTTGTATGAACCTAGATTGTGAGAGAAGCAGAATCTTTTGAAACATTTAGTCTTAGTGACTTTCGTAGCCCTGATCAAACTTGATATCTTGGAGAATAACATTTAATGCTTTCTTTTGAACCCCTGGAAGAACACTTTCAATAAGTACAATGTATGATGAAAGAAAGGCTTCTAGAGAGAAAGTACCTATTTTAAAAACTTAATCTCAGTCACATATTGTATAAAATAACTTAAGCTGTAATACAAAAACATTAACATAACATCAGTTTAAAAAGTATATTTGGAAAAAGAATTGTATTTGCAATTAAAAGCTACACGATATACTAGCATAAAGGATTACAGTTTATAAATTGGTGATTATTTTAAGTTCATAACATAAAACTATCCAGGCACCAAACAATCTTTTTGTGTAGTCAAGAAGTGTCATATTAAGAGTAGTTAGTAACTTAAACCTCAAGCTCAGTTGGAAAGAATGCTAATTATACAGACACTTGAAACCTGGCAAGTGAAAGTATAGGAATACTACTTCCAAACTTGAAATTCTGCTGGAACTAATGCAATCAGAGATCCATTTGAACACTACTGCTTTCTTGGCAGTTGAATTTGAATAGTGCACAAAGAAGTACCATTAGTTTGTATAAAATTTGATTCTCCAGGTCTTGGAAAAGGTGAGAACCTGTACTTCATACAGGAGAATTGTACCACTGACTACTTCTTTACATGAAAGAAAATCTTAAAGAAGATTTGAGCTTATGGTTTGGTTGATTATGAAGTAATTTTAAATTACACAACTGTTATTATTTTAGTGAGATTATTTAAACCAAGACAGTTCAAGAGTAAAAATGTAATTTTCAGCAACACTGTATGTAAATACATAGAATGACCATTTTTGAAAAATAGAAAATGTGTTTATGTTAGTGATATTTACAGTGAATAAAAAAAAAGCATAATGTTAGGTACACTGGGTTAAAGTAACAAAAATTTGCATGATTAATAATGTTATGCTTTGACAGCAGTAATTTAATCAACAGAATGTATTTGGAGCATGTAGAGGTTTCTTTGATTGTACACATAAATCATTAAATAATTAATGAAAAAGAAAGTAATATTTCTAATTTGATGTCATGCAATATTTGGGTGAAATTGATAAAACTTGTTTATTTACAACTTGATGTATGTGCGGGTTCTCATCAATACTTAATTCATTCTAAAATTTACTGAACCAAAATCCAAGTTTGTAATGAACTATTAATATTTTGTTGTTTTTTCTTTCACGTATATGTAATCCTTCAGACATATCTAGAGAGGAAGAAAGTTAAACTAAGACTTAAAATATTTAAACTCTAAAAGTAAAGCAGTTAGCTTAAAATAAAGAAGCAGTTTTAATCTTAAAATCCCAATAAAAAAGTTTTGCAAAATAGTTACAAAAAGTGATAGGCATAAACTGACACTAAAACCTAAAACTATTTACCTTGTATGGTAAGAGTGGGTTTTATTTTTGAGTATGTTATACTCTGTACAGTTGGATATGTATTGTTTTCAGTTTATTTCTGTTTTAGAATTACAAAGTTAATATTCTGTGTGGAGGTTGGTGCTTGTGAAATGTTTATTTAGTTTTCCACATTTCATTTTAACAAAATGACAGGATCATGATTAACCTATTTTATAAGTTGAAGTATTCAGAAACCAGCTTTATTAAAATATTTATCCATCAAAAAAGAATATCTGGAAAGGAATATCTGTCAGATTGTAGGCAGTTGTTCACTGCATATTGTATAAAAATAATAATGTCCAAACATTATTATATCTAAGAATCAGTTTTATGGACTTTGAATAAACAGTACAAGTTACCAGTATGTGTGTATGTTTTAAACATATATCTGACAGAACTAATAAAAAATAACAACAGTATAATGAATATTTATAAATAACTAAGAAACTAACCATTTCTAATGATAGCTGAAGTCAGCTGGAACTGAGAATAAATGTTTGGGACAGAAAAATCCAAATTAATAAGAGATCCATGTAACCTAGTGGAAGCAGAATTCTGGTTTATAAACCAACAAAAAATTACATTTATTCTTATCAAATGAGAAGTTCTTTCAATCACTTAGTTTGAATTTTGTGTGAAAAAGGTCATTCAAGATTTACACTTTCTTTACAACTGAATAAGTAACATTGAAAGATGTAACTTCTGCTTAGCTCTATAAATGTATGTCTTATCAATCATTATGGCTGCAATGTCCACATTTCCTTTTACCAGTATACTTCACAAATATGGACTTGTGTACTCCGAAGTGAAGTGCTTAAGGTGGACTTTAAATTGCTGTACTGATGATGCTGAATCTCGGTATCTGAAATGTATTTTTTGCAATGCTTCACGCATACCAGCCAAATCAAGAAGATTGGTTCAGTTAAAGCACATTGTCACGGATGAGGAGGTTACTATCATAAGTACTTCAGCTTTCAAACATTACTTGTTAAGGCATCACCTTGACCCAATTGAAATAATACTTGTTTCTGAAAAGACACCCATAAATTTCTCTGACTACAGTGACTAGATTGTCCCTTTTGCTGCATAACAAACATTTTCCATGTGTTATATCTGCCCCTTGCATGTCTGTTCTTGTGGCACACTTTCACAGTGAACTACATTATGATATCATGGTATCATCACATGATGATGATGATGATCCCATTTATCATGGAGCATAAATGTTGCATGTCACTGAAGTAACATACACATGGAGGATGTTTCTTGTTAAATCATTTTCTGATGTCTTTGAAACATAATGCATAATTATTGTGTGCAATTCCATTTTGGGATGATATATATCACTGGGTTGACATGCATATATGAATTGAGGACATTTACTGATGTATTCTTTGAAAAATAGTGTTTAATTGTTACATGCAATTTCATTTTTAATAGCACTATAGGCTGAATCCAATGTTTATTGCAAGCTATCTTTTTTTTTTTTGTACTCTCACATTTCACTGTCTTCATACTGTTAATGACTTCTGATTAAAAGTAAGATAAATATGCAGTTAAGAAATAAATTCATAAGTTAATAAAGAAATAAAAATTGACTAGAAAGGCTTAATACATAAAATAACTCATCATAAAAACTATATAATGATTAAAATACACTGAATCAACAACTGACCATGTACCCTCATTTTCTCACAATACTTTTGACTATAATATTAATACATGGTTCATCCAGTCCTGAAGGTTTAGGTTAGTCCTCCAAAATAATCTTCATAAGTGTGACACCAACGGTGTAACTTTTAATTAGTTTTAATTAGTTCCGGGGTTGTGAAGTATGCTAACTCAAGATTGTTGCTTTTCTCTAAAAATGTTTAAAAGATTTGTAGGTTACCTTTTAAATTGTAATATTTATTTTACACAAACATAATACATAACTAAGAGGAAAATCGCGTATTTTTTTTTTTTTAGCAATTAATAGCAAAATATGGCATATTAATAAATATCTTGGTAACCATTTTCCTCAATCATAGCATTGCTGAACACAGATTTGGGTTATCTTTAGGGATCTGTAAAATCAGAGAATTAACAGATGGGACATTTTAACAAACAAGCTATAATACTATTGCAGGAAGTATGCAATTAATCATCTATACTAGTATTTACTTTTGGAAGATCATGTTTCAGATGTTTCTGCAACTGCTGAAGAAGAGGTTTTTTAGCTACCAACAGGTAGCTAAAAGTTCCATAAAAATACAGAATTGGAAAATGTTTATATAGCAAATAAATTTAACATGGACAGCAAAGGAAGATTGAACATAATTGAAACAAATCTTTATTCATAATGAATAACGTGGCTGGCTTCTAATTTGGCTTTTTGCAGCTGCACAAGACAGGGACAGACTTGTTTGAATAACCTACTTTTACAGTCAGGCAAAGCCTTATTATGGTATTACACAAATCATTATGTTACATACTTCAACCACATGTCTACATAGATAGTCCAAACTATCCCAAGTCAGTTTACACAGACTTCTTTATCATATAAATAGTTGATCCACGTACAAATACATACATGCTAGCTTGAAACAAAGGCTGCATTATGTACCCTTTACTGTGTAAAAGGATTGGCACATGTTTACAACCATGTGACATCCATTCAGTATGTATGTTATTAACTACATGGAAATATACAAAAATGATCTGAATAGAGACATATTCTATACTAATTATGAAAAGGTGAAATTTGTAGCCATTTGAGCTATTGTACAGTTTCCAAGTCTGGGAAGTAAAGGAAGTGTTACAGTTTACAGAATACACAAGGAAAGCACAAATTTCAGTTTCGTGCACTAAACATTTTAGGAAGTGTAAACACAATATATATATGCAAGTAACTTTGTAATATAATAAATCATGTTCATCATTTCTCCACAGTATCTCCTTTAATCTTTCAAGAAATCAATATCTCTTATTGATCAATTAACATATGATAGAAATACACTACACTAAGTTTTTCTTGTTAAATTGATAAAGGAAAACAGTTCAACATTTCTGATATCATTGACCATCTTTTGTCACCAACTTCTTATGAGAAACAACACTTGTGCTAATGTATTATAAAAAGCTTTTCTTAAGAACTTTACAATAAAAAAAATCAGAACTCTGGATTTTCCTTTCTTTATGATTTGTATTTGGTATGTCCAGTTGGGATTATGTATACATTCATCTAAGTTTATTTTCTTAGCATGCCCGTGTCAGGGTCATGTTATTAGTCTATATAATGAGTACTCTTTAAGTTTTATTCTAGTCATTCATGAACATTTTGCCAACAGCTACTTGAAAGTTAGTTAGTTCCAAACTTGTTGCTGTATACCATCCTATTTATATAAATATTTAATGAAATACTAATGTGCAGACTGTTTCGACTCATGTTTTTAAAATCAACCATATGTTAAAGAAACTTGATAAAATTTCCTATAACAGCAATTATACATATGTATTGTCTCTTCAGATGGATCTCTTGAGCACACACCTATTAATACTAACATAGCAATTGACTCTGCTTCATCCTACAATAGAAGTTACTGTTTGGTGCTTCTCAAGTCTACATTCAAATTGTTAAAGATATAGTGTTACAACAAATGTATTGAGAAGGTACAGAACAACACACGATTACAGGAAACTTTTTTTAAATAGAAAACTATACAAGTTATTAAAGTTTTCCTTCAAAGAGATGTACAACTGTAAATACTGATTATGGTAAAATAGCAATACACCACCCAGGTGTATCAAAATTAGATATTGATACACTTTCCAGGTATGAAAGTAGAATTATATTTTTGTAATGAAGGGTTAGATAGGGATACACTATCCAGGCATAAAAGTACAAATATGATTACAGATCAGTATTACATAAAAATACACTTGACAGATGTGAAAGTGTCAATTTAATTGTAGATCAGAACTAAACAAGGATATACCTGGCAGGTATGAAAGTATAAATATTCTTCTTCTACATCAGTTAGATTAGGATACACATGGCAGGTGTTCAAAGTGTGAGTATTCTTGTACATCAAAATTATATAATGCACACCTTGCAGGTATGAAAATACTTCTAGGTCAGAGTTAGACAAGGATACATGTTGCAACTGTGAAAGTACATGTATATCAGAATTAGGTAATTATAGACCTGAGAAGTGTGAATAGGTCTGGATCAGAGTTAGGTAATGATAAATGATCCAACTAGATAGAACTATTCTCTGAAATACTTGGTGCTCAATACACAATTTTACTTTATTAATAATATAAATGTGAAGGAAAAACTAGCCACTGAAACTACGTAAGATTCTAAAGAACATATTATATATCAAGCATTTATGTTCATAATAATAATTCTTAAGAAAGTAGAAACATAAAATAAATTTCTCTGCACAAAACCAGTTTTAGTCTGAAATACAGCTTTGTCTAAATTCAACAAGTTTTATCTGACAAGCCAGTTCACATCTGCTTCATTCACCACTTTGCTGCAACTTGTATTGAGAAACTTAAGTTTAACAGCAACAGTGCTCAAGGTCTAAAGAGTAACTAAAGTTTGCACTAGGTAATCAAACATGATCATACTGACAAGTTTGAAATGCTAACACTGTTATTAAACACAAAACTCTCCTTAGTTTGTTGGGTGTTTTTATTCTTCATCAATTCCTCTTCTAAAACTGATACCCAATATGCATATGAAAAAAATATTCTAAGAGATGAAAGAGTTTGACATTACATAAAACAAACAGTTTTCCCTCTGTAATACTTGGTACCAACCAATGAAGATGAAAAATGTTACAAACTTATATTAAAGATTTATTTTTTCTTTGCTATTTAAAAATCAAAACTGTATGACAAGTAAAATTCTATGTGAAGCTGTTGTCAATAGTTACATATTCTATTATCCTTGAAAAAATAAGACCCAAATGTTTATTTGCTTTCATGGACAAACTTTTTCTATGCAGTCACAAAATCCCGTGCTACGTTGATATCTAGTAGTGCTAATTCACTTCTATATTGATCATCTCTCCCATAAAACAGGTTTAATAAAGATGATTAGGATAATATAAACAATGAAAATGTTCATAATTTTTTAACTTTAAATACATAAACTGGAAGATAAAATAATATAATAATAGGGTTTCTCCTTCTCTAACTCTGCCCCCCAGTGGCACAGCTGTATGTTTGCAGACTTAGAATGCTAGAAACCAGGTTTTGATACCTGTGGTAGGCAGAGCATAGATAGCCCATTGTGTAGCTTTGTGTTTAACTACAAACAAACAGAAACAATTCTCTCTCGTTTTTTTTAGCTATTCCTTAAGCCTA